TACGTAATAACTTCGTAAAAGCTATAAAAAATATAAGAATTTGAGCTGAGCATTGGATAGAGCTGGAAAAGCTCTTCAAAATGATATCATATCAATTGCAGTTTTTCTAGATTTCAAGGAAAATAAAGCATCCAAAAGTGGAGTGTCAGAAAACGACAGAACTTTTGAAAACCTAATAATTCTTGAGTAAGACATGTGGCATGTCATGGGGCCAAACCATGATGGATATCCCAGAAAGAGGGTGTGAACTCACCAAGAACGACAGTGAGAATAAACATAGCCAGAGTTTGAGCCGTTGCCATGAGGTCATACACTTCGAGCATTTTGCAGGCGATCAGCGATGGAATACCGATTGGGCCAAACCTTGAACATTCACCGTGTTTGAACAACGTCGTATACTCAAGGAAATGGCTTACCACATCACGATCAGTACCATTCTGGTGATCACCGCATCAAGGGCCATGAAGAACTTCGCCAGTGGCCGAGCTTGTTTTCCCAAACGAGAAATCACGATACCCATCACAATGCAAAAGATGATTAAACCTGAATCAGTGTTAGGTATAGCAACGCTGAGGCTTTACAAAGTGAGTTGATGACGGTTACCCTTTGCCTGTTTCCAATTTCTTTTTGCACCTTGGAAACTTTGGAACTCTTATACAAACTCATAATGTAATGGATACGCCAGGTGTTCAAATAGCACGAGGATGATTCACACCGATTTTGTGCTAAGAAGAGTATCGTTCTCTTCTTACCAAAATCGGTGGGAAACTTTGAAACCATCTCCAAATGGACTACCCTCAAAGCAACACATCGCGTCGAATAATGTTTTCTGTGGGTAGGACAGAGTAGCCCGCGAGTGTCGCAGCTGTGCCGTCGTCGTAGCGACAATGACGTTAGGGCCCTACAAAATGAGGTAATGACGTCAATGGGAGCTAATGGACGAGATACCTCGCGTACACCCCGAACGTGGTTTACGACGTGGCGGGAATTTAAATACGCACTAGTTAAGGGAGCCACGGCAAGCATGCTCAATCACTTACCGACGTCCTACGTCATTATTGAGAAAGAAAATGCGTCTCTGCTTGTTCGTTACTAGAGACGTGGATTCTTCTTTTCACCCCTTGTCGATTCACTTCGATCACTTTCGTTGTCGACATAACACTGATCTGGGGCAAGCTTCCAGAAGACGTTCATCTTTACTCACCTAATAGTTCATCCCGTCTGAGTATTCGACGCGCCTTTTCTGAACCACCGATCCGTCCGATGTATTGACTGACAAGTAAATCGTCTGCTGCTGTTGGAATGTAGATCGAACAATGTTTTCTGGCAGCATATTCCTGTCAAGTAAGAAAAGTATAGTGAAAACTCCGCCGCCTATCCCCCCCCCTCAAAGAGAGTTTAGAGTTTCAGCAAGAAGTAGAGCCTATCTTCCAACAACACCGGTCTTAACATTGACAAAATGCGGTGATATAGGGGGGGGGGGAAAAAAAAGAGTCCACTCTCACTCACATTCAAAACGAATTAATTACACTTTGCCAAAACCAAACCGAATGAGCTTAATTGCTATTTAAAGAGCACATTCTATTCTATCAAAAAATTACATAGGGCCTTCTAAACCGACGACACCAAAAGATTTTCCCACACTTTTTGTTCAGACGGGAAAACATGGTTGGGCCGTACGGCTCAAATAGAGTCGTGATAAATTATTACTAACGACGACTCTGAAAGCATAGTACAAAGCCATTTTGCATATCAGAGCTAGTGTCCTAAGAAAGCCCATTCACTAGTTTATCCGATTGAAGAAATATGTAGCAGCTTCAGAATGGAGCATTATGGTAGGCCTCCTTGAGCTCGACGGTGATGACAGATGACGTCATATTCTGGAGACGGTGAAAGCAGCGAAGGTGGGCCTGATTCTGCTTATGGGGGACATCTAAGGAATAATTCGCCGTATAACTCCCAATAACAGCGGCATCCTTTGCGACGAAAAGTTTGATGATATGCGCCATGAGGCAAAGTGACTCTTTTTTTGCCCCCCCCCCCTGTAACTACGCCGCATTGCAGGCCATGTCGGACCGTGCGGGATATATCCCCCGCACACATTACACTCATTTTTTTCGCGCACGCCTGATTCTTCTAGAAGTTTCTTGTATTCATTCCTTGGAAGAGACCTTGACGTAGCTTCAAACATAGTGGCTCTTAGAATGGTCACGTATACTTAATTTAGAGGAGGATTTCAGAACCTATACGACATATTCAGTTTAAAATATTTTTTCGTTTACGATGACAATATGTGTGTAGATCGGAAGACTTGCTTTTTGAGGTCATTAGAGTATTCTGAAAATTTTCGTCTCTTTCATTGTTAATATCTCATATTTGTCATTAGCTTCTTGAATTGATGTTCCATTCTTGATTTACACTTCTCTTTACCGAATGTCTTATACTCGTATTATAATAATAAATAATAAATAAATTTCATGTCACATATCGATGAAATTCCACTACTCTACCCCTAAATGTGTGCTCATAACATTTCTGTTTGCTTATGAATGTGATCCTTATTTGTATTTATACTCAAAACTCTAAGATCTGAGCAGCACGCCGCAAATCGCCGCTTCTCACAGTGGCTAAAACGCCAAAATCGCTTTGTGTCAATGTGTTAAGAGCGATTCTTTTTGCTATCTGTATCATATTGGTTACTTATTTCATCTTTGGGCTTCACTTTTCCTCGGACCATTAATCGTTGAAGTTACCTGAGTAGATCAGAGAATTCTTTCCTTGTGGATACACTGGCATTAGCTTGGGTTGTCCGCTGCCTTTCCTGTTTACTTCGAGATCTCCCTGGGTGAATCAGTAAACTACGAACAATTCCAAAGATAAATTGAATTGTTCGAACAGAAAAATACCAATTTCTCCTTGATGCAAGGTCAAAGAAACCACTTAACTTTTAAGGCTGAAATCATACCCAACTGGCATGACTGTGTGAGGACGATATAAGGCACAGCTCTTTCCCCATTCCTACGTCGGGCATCCAAATGCGAAGAGACCTAAAAGAAAACTAAAAACGGAGTAAGTTCATTTTTGGCGACAGATGTTAAAATTCCACACGGAAATAATACTTGCACAATGTGCATATCAATAAAATACGAAGGAGTTCATTGGCGTGAAGATGGCAAAATTCACCGGAAATAAGGCTGGCAACAATGAGTGGCAAAATCATCGCTTTCAACATGTTCATGAATAGCTCTCCTGGGAATCCGATGAATTTCGTGACTTCCTCGTTTGGATTCAAGTACCTTAACATCGCAGGATTGGGCTCGACTGAAGGTCCATTTAGATTTTCTACCCTACCGGAGCAATCCACCACCGACCACACCCACGATGACACCAGCAATGGTGAGAATGAGCAGGATGTCCTGTTTGGACAACGACTTCACCCTCCTCATCATGGTATCTGAAATACATGTGTGGGAGAGCATGAGCTGCGTCATTTTGAGAGCGCGAAGCGAAGGTAGAATGAAATTCAAATAACAGGAGTGAAGTGGGGAGGTGAGGGTGCAGAAGGTAAATGAGAATACCCATTTTTTATTCCTCCACTTTTTGCTATTCGATAGGGTCTCTGACGAGGTTTTTATTCTAGGAAAAGATAACTTGTAGCAAAACAAGAGAGTTAAACAATAAATAAACAACGAATAAATAAAACAAGTTGAGAATTGCCACAATGGCACTGCTCAATTTGGCAGGTGGACCATTCTGTGAAATTCAGGGGTAATCTGTACTCGGGATAGTAGGAAAAGGGAGAAAAATTCCCCTCCTGGGGTCAGGTCACCACAGTTGCGCGATCATTGAAGCTTAAGGTTAAGTTTGGGTTTAGGCTTAGGTTTATGCTTACACATTGGCTTATGCCTAAGCCTATGATTGGGCCTAGGCTTAGTCCTAAGCTTGCTCCGAGCGAATGAACGGCGTCTCAATTTTAGGTGACCTGACCCAGGAGGAGAAACGCTACGCACCCTAGGAAAAGCAAGGTTTCTGAAGCTAACTCTTCGGATTGTAACCGAACCGAAAGGAGATGATTTAGTAAAGATTAATAACGAATAGTTGCCTCAGCAGTGCGCGGAACAGAGTGTAATGTAAGTGAATATCTAGAGAATATCTGTAGAAATACGGCAAAGCAAACCTGTGCAGTGATCGGCGTTGATAAATCACTTTGAGATACGCCACGAAATCGATTAATACCCAGAAGCGCAGACGCATTCGAACACGGTATGTATTGGGTTAGAACATAATATCGTAGCGCTTGCATTCCACACAAAGTTTGGAGCAAAAATAAGAACATGAAGAATCAGTGATGTTACCTTCATCATTGTTCACGACTCTCGCAGAAATCAGAGGAAATCAGCGGATTTAGAACTTCAAAAGGTGTGGAGCTCGTTTTCAAACTCCTCGCCATTTTCAATTCAGTCAGCATAAGCATGGCTCAAAATTGAACAAAACTGG